ACACAAATATTGACATATGAAAACCTGTCAGATAGAAAGTCAGAATGCCACTTATGCATCAAAATTGAAAAAGCTATGAAATGCTTATTTTGCCATATAATGCCAAAATTGGTCATTTTTGCAGAAATTCTATCAAATAAAAGTTTAAATCCTTTAGTTTTATGCTATTTGACAAATTGACACCATCAAATCATTCAGGGAAGTTGCCAAAGTACAGATTCTATATTTCCTGATTTGACCTCTTAGGTCCGAGTACACAGTTATTTCGTAGTGCATTTCTTTTAGACAATAAATGAAAATTAAAAAAATCCCACCTGCGCTTTCTCAATAATATTTTTACAGTGTGTTGTACTACTTTTGGGACAAATTATATCAAAATTATAGAAAACTTCATCGGCTCTAACTCAAAATATGGACAATTTTATGTTAAGGGGGTCTTGAAATCTTTTGACAGCTTCCGAAGTGCTAATTTTTAACCCTTTTTCAGCTGGACCAAATCACTACTTTACTTTAAAATTCATGACCCAAATTTTTTTACAGTGTCATTTCACCCCCTTACTTGCTATTTGAGGCATAAAACATGGAGAAATAAATTTGGAAGGGGTATTAAAAAAAATTGGCAAGTAACACACTGTCCACACTTAGGACTATATTCGTGGACAACGAAAATCAAAGGACGATAACTGTGTACTCGGACCTAATAGGATAGAAAAAGTTGACCAATCTTAATAAAACTTGGTATGACCAAAGCTTAATAAATTATAAGACTGCTTACAAAGTTTCATGGCAATAGGATATATATTATAGACAATATGATTAATTCTATATTCAACTTTGCGTGTTAAATTTAGACGTTAAAATTGAAAAATTTCAACTATCAACATTTGGGGCTTTTAAAATTCAAATTTTGCAAAAAAATACTTTTAAAATGCCTTAATATATAATATATCATGTATTAAAAGCAATAGAGTACTCATTTGATATATCAGACTTAGCATAATTATTCAAAAGTCAAATCTATATGAGCCTGTGCCTAAAAATGGAGGTTTTCCAATGAAGGGGAGCCTTACATGAAGATGTAATATTTTCCAGCAATTTTAAATTTGTGAAGCTTTTTGGTTATAAATAATCCTTACATATGTATTTAATGTACTTTAAATGGAAAGAAAACTTACAAATAACATATCATATTAGTTTAAAAGGGTCTTAGGCCAAGTAAGACTGAAAATAATTTAGGGTCAATTTAGGCCGTAGCACATATTTACATTTAAAAATGCATATTGAAGCTATAGGAAATAAAAATTTGTGTCTTTTCTATCATTTCTATACTCAAGTGACATGATACAATAAATCTGAGCACAAAAAGACTCTTGCATTCAACTTTTTGTGCAGACAGTATGGTCTGATACAAAGATTTTTCACTTTTTAGTGAAAAACTTGCATGCAATTTTAGTCTCAACAGGCTTATATTTGAACCACATGCTATCCTACAGAAGAAAAGAAAGATATTATGTGAAATGAAACAGGTACAACAGACATTGTTAAGTTCTTTTTATACAAATTTAGTGAGATATTTATGATGGACTTCAACTTTTATGTACCAAGCTCCTCACATTTAACTTGATCCAAACAGGGCGTTAGACGAGGGTCATTTATACAACACATTTTGCACATATTGTCTGAGATAATCTTCTTTTCTGTAGATTCAAAGTTCACAAATGAGTAACACAACTGGATTAAAGCATAGAAACACAAATATTGACATATGAAAACCTGTCAGATAGAAAGTCAGAATGCCACTTATGCATCAAAATTGAAAAAGCTATGAAATGCTTATTTTGCCATATAATGCCAAAATTGGTCATTTTTGCAGAAATTCTATCAAATAAAAGTTTAAATCCTTTAGTTTTATGCTATTTGACAAATTGACACCATCAAATCATTCAGGGAAGTTGCCAAAGTACAGATTCTATATTTCCTGATTTGACCTCTTATAATAGGATAGAAAAAGTTGACCAATCTTAATAAAACTTGGTATGACCAAAGCTTAATAAATTATAAGACTGCTTAAAAAGTTTCATGGCAATAGGATATATATTATAGACAATATGATTAATTCTATATTCAACTTTGCGTGTTAAATTTAGACGTTAAAATTGAAAAATTTCAACTATCAACATTTGGGGCTTTTAAAATTCAAATTTTGCAAAAAAATACTTTTAAAATGCCTTAATATATAATATATCATGTATTAAAAGCAATAGAGTACTCATTTGATATATCAGACTTAGCATAATTATTCAAAAGTCAAATCTATATGAGCCTGTGCCTAAAAATGGAGGTTTTCCAATGAAGGGGAGCCTTACATGAAGATGTAATATTTTCCAGCAATTTTAAATTTGTGAAGCTTTTTGGTTATAAATAATCCTTACATATGTATTTAATGTACTTTAAATGGAAAGAAAACTTACAAATAACATATCATATTAGTTTAAAAGGGTCTTAGGCCAAGTAAGACTGAAAATAATTTAGGGTCAATTTCGGCCGTAGCACATATTTACATTTAAAAATGCATATTGAAGCTATAGGAAATAAAAATTTGTGTCTTTTCTATCATTTCTATACTCAAGTGACATGATACAATAAATCTGAGCACAAAAAGACTCTTGCATTCAACTTTTTGTGCAGACAGTATGGTCTGATACAAAGATTTTTCACTTTTTAGTGAAAAACTTGCATGCAATTTTAGTCTCAACAGGCTTATATTTGAACCACATGCTATCCTACAGAAGAAAAGAAAGATATTATGTGAAATGAAACAGGTACAACAGACATTGTTAAGTTCTTTTTATACAAATTTAGTGAGATATTTATGATGGACTTCAACTTTTATGTACCAAGCTCCTCACATTTAACTTGATCCAAACAGGGCGTTAGACGAGGGTCATTTATACAACACATTTTGCACATATTGTCTGAGATAATCTTCTTTTCTGTAGATTCAAAGTTCACAAATGAGTAACACAACTGGATTAAAGCATAGAAACACAAATATTGACATATGAAAACCTGTCAGATAGAAAGTCAGAATGCCACTTATGCATCAAAATTGAAAAAGCTATGAAATGCTTATTTTGCCATATAATGCCAAAATTGGTCATTTTTGCAGAAATTCTATCAAATAAAAGTTTAAATCCTTTAGTTTTATGCTATTTGACAAATTGACACCATCAAATCATTCAGGGAAGTTGCCAAAGTACAGATTCTATATTTCCTGATTTGACCTCTTAGGTCCGAGTACACAGTTATTTCGTAGTGCATTTCTTTTAGACAATAAATGAAAATTAAAAAAATCCCACCTGCGCTTTCTCAATAATATTTTTACAGTGTGTTGTACTACTTTTGGGACAAATTATATCAAAATTATAGAAAACTTCATCGGCTCTAACTCAAAATATGGACAATTTTATGTTAAGGGGGTCTTGAAATCTTTTGACAGCTTCCGAAGTGCTAATTTTTAACCCTTTTTCAGCTGGACCAAATCACTACTTTACTTTAAAATTCATGACCCAAATTTTTTTACAGTGTCATTTCACCCCCTTACTTGCTATTTGAGGCATAAAACATGGAGAAATAAATTTGGAAGGGGTATAAAAAAAATTGGCAAGTAACACACTGTCCACACTTAGGACTATATTCGCGGACAACGAAAATCAAAGGACGATAACTGTGTACTCGGACCGACTGGTCGCCAAAAAATTGTTGCTGAATTTTTGTTTGCTTTTGAATTGAAATAATTGACTGTGAATAGAATAAGATAATGGTGTTGTTAAAACACCTTTATTAAAAATGTGTAATTATGTGTAGATTCTTATACAAGTCAGTTGAAAGCAATGTAGGATAGTTGTGAATAGAAAAGTGTATATATACAGCTATTATTTGAATATACATTTTAAGGCTCGACTATTTTAATTATTACTTGGGAGAGTACATCATTTTTTTTCATAATCCTATTGCAAATCCCAGCTTATAAGAAGGTTTCGTATATTTTTCTTGAGAATAACACACCAGTTTCATTTGGACCTCTTATATAGAGACTTATTTTGGTCTCATAAAACATATCAAATTTTAAGGATTTCCTGATTTTACTTAAATCAATCCAAATATTCTACAGGAAAACTTGGTTTTGAAGAATATCTTATTTTCAGAAGTTTTATGAATAAACACTGGACACTTTTAATTTGCAAAACACTCATTTGCAAATCCGCCGCCGCCTCTCCTTAGACCTACAGTGTCATGTATATAACCAAAATGTGCGGAATTACATGGGATTCAATAATTTCATTGCTTTTCTGCTGTTATTATTATATATATTTTGTAATTTGATTTAGAAAAACATGGGATTTTCAATATCCCATGGGATACGGCAAATCCCATGGGATTGACCATTATCCCATGGGATTTTGGTTAAATCCCATAGGATTTTTTGGGGTCCCATGGGATAATTGTAGTCCCATGGGATATTTGTCGTCCCATGGGACCAAAAAAATCCCATGGGACTATAATTATCCCATGGGATTTTTAATATCCCATGGGACAAAATAAAATCCTATGGAATTCAAATTATAAATATACAGTAATGTGTATGTTACAATGAATTCTGTTTGGTAGTAAAAAGTTTATAATATAAATATGAGTGTATTTTGGTTTTTTTCATTTTGTCACAAACATGTTTTTAATTTGTTTATATGACAATAAAGATTATTATTATTTTGGAAAGTATAATAATATTTAAAGTCAAAAAATAAAATCCTTTAACTGAAATAAAATGATGACATGTCTTAATAAAAGAAAAAAATATTGATTTGAAATCTTTGTCTTGTTTGTTTTATTATGAAAAATAGAACTGAAAAAAATATTTCATATTCTGACTGAATAAATTGACAAAGCACAGTTAATAGTTTACTCTTTTAATGAGGTAAAGTTTTCTTTGTTACAGTTCTATTGCAATACATGAATATGCAAACGATTTGAATCTTATACCTTTGTGGTGTTCATAATATTACGTTTATATTTGCAAATTTATAAAATAAACACTTTTCCTGTTAAGTTTTAGTTTTCTTGTTTCAGCTTGCTATGTACAATTATTCAGTCCACTATATAAGAGTCAAGTAAATAAATTATTTCATCCACTAGAATATTCCTACAATTCTTAGACAAAACATTTTTGCAATCTGTTCTTCAAAAATCTTCCTCCGTACATCTTTATTGGATGGAGCGATTTAAATGAGTGGACAAAGCAAGTTCATTTGGACAACAAAATACTAATATACTTTTTCATTCCTCCCTTCTTTCAATTGATAATTACGTTGTTGCATTTACATGATTTAGTTCTTGTGCATCTATGATCATGATAATATGACACCTTTTTGTTTATAGTCATTATGTTGAAATTTCCTCTTTCTTATGTAGGAAAAAAACACATTCCATTTCAAATTAATAAAAAAGTCACACTATGTAGAAAATATCAACTTCAAGTTTTCTGTTCAGTATTGACCTGTTGAATGATGATCATGAAAACCAAGATGTCTGACCTACAAATACACAAAACTCAAAAATTATAAATGAAGAGAAATACAGCAATAAAATGGCTACTTTATCATGTTTATGTCCTTTTTGATAAAACTTTCATTTGAATATTTAAAACTGTAAGAACTCTTATTTCAGTGCTTTGTGTCTATGGTTTTCATATTAGTTGTTTTTGTGCCTTGTTGCAGTCTTTTGAGTTAAGCCGATTGCAACAAATGTTTACAATTTGTCCAAAGGTTGTGCTGTTATTAAAACCACTGTCCTAGGTTAGGGGTGGGTTGGGTGCTCACAAAATGTTTATTTTATTAGTTGATATTTGCTATGAATTAGCTGTCAGTAACTGTGAGTACTAATAGATCTGTATGTTGAGTCTTTTTTGTTACAGGGAAAGAATAAATTTCCAGCCACATCCGGTCTGTGTTTTTGGTAGCTGTTTTTCTGCTTTGTTGCATTCTAATGAGTTAATAAAATTGAGAATGAAACAGGAATGTATAAAATTAACCTGACCCAAGAGCAGAAAAAAGCCCTTTTCAACTGATTTCATAGTTTTTATATTGAACTGACACTTGCACCACTGTCCTTAATTAGAGGAGGATTTGGTGCCAGCAAACATGTTAAACCATGCCACATTTTGTAAGTGTCTGTCCCAAGTCAGGGGCCTGTTATTCAGTGGTTGTCAATTGTTGCTATATATCATATTTGTTTTTTGTTTATTGTTTAATGCAAAAATCAGGCACTTAGCTTTCGCCTTGGTGGTGTTTCCCCCGAGCATGTTTAGCATGGAAAGACATTATGCCCTTTTTAAATGACGCCATGCCCTTTTGAAGTGTTTTACATTTGTTTTTTGAATTTCATGGCCTTTTATAGATTACTATGCAGTATAGGGTTTGCTCATTGTCGAAGGCTGTACAGTGAAATAATTTTGTTAAATTTCATGTCATTTGATCCTTATTGGAGAAAAGTCTCATTGGCAATCATACCGCTTCTTATTTTTATATCAACCCTGCCATATTTTGCCTGTCCGAAATCAGGAGCCTGTACATTGTTCAGTGGTTGATGTTGGTTCACGTCCGTCATATTTGTTTTTTCATAACTTGTTCTTTTTTATGAATTAGTCTGGTATATTTGAAGTTTGAATTGATGTTTTGTTCCAAATTTTGTTTTTGGTGTCTTTTATAGATGACTATATCATGTATAGGTTATGGGTTTTCTCATTATTTACAGGTCATCATTGGCCTCTAATAAGTAATTGCATTGCTTTCATCCACTTAATTGAACTCTGATGGATAGTTTTCTCATTTATCATACCACATCTTATTTTCATAATAATCATTATTCAAGGGCAATAACTTTTATAGAAGTGGACTTACCATTTAGGCTTTGTTGACGTCTGTAAATCTATTTTTGATGATAATCTCTTTTGTTTATAGTTTCCCTTTATCTTTAATGTTCTTGCCCTACACATAAAAGGGTAAACATTATCATTTAATGACAATAACTACTATTACATAATTAGTAGGCAACTGACAATTTGGGATCATTTGTATATCTTGTCATGCTCATCATTTTTGTTTGTTTAATATTATCAATATTCTATGAAAATGAGGTCACAGTAATATTAACCTTGGCAGACAGACGACTTCTTATTTTTATATGACACCTTGCAGTCATTCCATACACTTACAAGTAGAAATATGCTTATAATATCTGATAAAAAGAAAAAAACCAAGAAAACTTAGCATTGACCAAAGAACCATAAAATACGGTCATGGTTATATGAATCTGCCAGACAGACATGCACACCTTACAATCGTTACATCCGCCAAATATAATTTACCTGTTGCTTAAAGCATATGATAAACTGACAAAACAATGCAAACTTTTCATTGACCAATGAACCATGAAAATGAGGTCAAGGTCATATAAAACATGCCAGACAGACATGTGCATCTTACAATCATTCCATTCACCAAATATAGGGGCCTTATTGCTTACAGTATCCGAAAAATAGACCAAACCACAAAAACTAAACATTGTCCAATGTACTATGAAAATAAAGTCAAGGTAAGACGAAACTTCTCAGTCAAACATATCATGATATGCACCTTACTATCATTCCATACACCAAATATAGTTGACCTATTGCTAATTTGAAAATAAGAAAATAGAAAAACTGACCAAAAAACAAAAAAATAACATTGAGCAATGAACCATAAAAATGAGGTCAAGGTCGAATAAAATATGCCAGACTAACATGTACATCCTTAAAAATTTTCATACACCAAATATACTTGACATGTTGCATACAGTATTAGAATAAAATGCTCCGCTGGGTGCAGCTTGATATGACCGCAGAGTTAGAACCCTGAACAGTTGGGGCAAGTATGGACACAACATTCAAGCTTGATACAGCTCTGAATTTGGATTGCGATTAAATATTTGACACAGCATAGGTTTCTGAACCAGAATGAATGTGGTCTAAGAACTTAAAAATTTTTAATTTACCTATTATGGTCCAATATCCAAAATCTAAATACATACACGGTTAGATTCAGCATATCAAAGAACCCCAAGAATTCAATTTTTGTTAAAATCAAACCAAGTTTAATTTTGGACCCTTTGGAACTTAATGTAGACCAATTTGAAAACAGGACCAAAAATTAGGAATCTAAATACACGGTTAAATTCAGCATATCAAAGAACCCCAATATTTCAATTTTTGATGAAATCAAACCATATCATTATTATTTGCTTTTATACATAAATAAAAAATAACCAACTTAAAATGGAAAATTTAAAAAAAAAAAAAAAAAAAAAAAAGGAACCCCCCTCCCCAATTTTTTTAACCCCCTTATGATTCATCACCCCCAAACTCAATCCCAGCCTTTCCTTTGTAGTATGGTACCTTGCAGTACAATTTCAGAGAGATCCATACACTTGAACACAAGTTATTGTCTGGAAACTAGAAAAATGCTTGTTTTTTTGCCCCAAATTCCTAAATGTTTAGAGCAATTACCCCTAAACTCAAACCCAGCCTTCCCTTTGTGATATGGAACCTTGTAGTACAATTTCATAAAGATTCATACACTTACACACAAGTTATTGTCCTGAAACTAGAAAAAGGCTTGTATTTTGCCCCTTTTTGGCCCCTAATTCCTAATATTTTAAGGCAATTACCCCCAAAATCAATCCCAGCCTTCCCTTAGTGGTATGGTACCTTGCAGTACAATTTCAGAGAGATCCATACACTTGAACACAAGTTATTGTCTGGAAACTAGAAAAATGCTTATTTTTAGCCCCTTTTTGGCCCCTTATTCCTCAACGTTTTGGGCAATTACCCCCAAACTCAATTCGAGCTTTCCCTTTGTGATATGGAACCTTGTAGTACAATTTCAGAAAGATCCATACACTTACACACAAGTTATTGTCATGAAACTAGAAAAATGCTTGTTTTTTGCCCCTTTTTTGGCCCCTAATTCCTAAAATTTTGAGGCAATTACCCCCAAAATCAATCCCAGCATTCCCTTTGTGATATGGAACCTTGTGGTACAATGTTTGAGAGATCCATACACTAACACACAAGTTATTGTCTGGAAGTTACAAAAATGCTTATTTTTGGCCCCTTTTTGGCCCCTAATTCCTTAACTGTTGGTACCATAACCCCCAAAATCATTCCCAACCTTCCTTTTGTGGTATTGAACCTTATGGTAAAATTTCATAGAGATCCATTCTCTTAAACTAAAGTTATTTTGCGAAAACCAATGTGTCTTCGGATGAAGACGCCAATGTTATACCAATATACAACCGCAAAAATTTTTTGCTGCCGTATAAAAACTGGACATTTTTAACTAGGAATAGTGATGTCTTGGACTAGGAAAATTAGTCTGGGGACATAAATTACTGACATCGGACTAAATATACTAGTAAATTCTGTATCCATGGACTTTCTATACTAGTTATATTTGTCAGACCAGACAATTTTTACAAGGACTAATTTATCTCTTACACTTGTTCTCAGAGAGACATGTCACCTTACCTTGACACATAATTCTGACTCTGAACAAACCAGTATTTGCTCTTACTCCTTAATAATACTGCGTGCTTAGGGGAGAAGCAGCAAATACCAACTTTAAAGTCTTTGGTTTTACCCCGTTGGGTTCAAAATAAACAACCTTCTGCACTTGGGGTGAACACGCTACCAAGAGACCAGGCAGTATAATATAAGAAGTTTACCCAAGATTTAAAGTTTCCAAGTTTTTGCAAAAACTGGATCAAAATCATCATTGAAAAGCAATAACTTTTTAAATAGATTTAAGTTTCTCTTTAAATATTACAGTTTTAGAGATAAAAAGGCAAATTCAAGAAATATGAAGAAAAAAAAAAAAAAAGGTAAAAAACTGTATTTAAGGCAACAACTCCTATCAGTCAGCTGCCAGTTTCGATGCCATTTAAATGGACAGTAGATTTTTTTTTCAACATTCTGAACATTTCTTTTTTAGCCCATTGTTGAAATCTGTATGGTGACCTATATAGTTGTTAACTTCTTTAGTTTCTGTTGAAGAGCCGTCACATTGGCAATGTCCAATGATACCATATTTGTATATGTTTTTGTCATGTAGGTGTAAGGGAGTTACCATTTGATTTTTATGTGGGGGTGGGGGGGGGATTGCTAGGATGAAAAATGTTGTCCTGCATTTTTTTTAAGTTGTAATCTCTGTCCTGCCTTTATATTTTTCACTCCATTCAGTCCTGCCTTTTTTTTTATTAGTTTATCCTGACTTTATTTACATAAAATGTCATCCTGCCTTTTTTTTTTGCCATGTTGCTCATCCTGCCTTTTTTTTTACTCAAAACTCCTGTCCTGCTTTTTTTTCAAATTTCATCCTAGCCCCCCCCCCCCCCCCCCCCCCCCCCTAAAAAATCAAATGGTAGATCCCTAAGGAGACAACCTTTTGATTTTCTGGTGGGATAAAAAGTGGAGCCAGATTTTTTATCACCTGGCCTGGTTAGTTTTTCAGGGTTTGTAAGGATAGAAAATCCGGCAAATTGTAACAAACCCCTGTTGTACGACCATATTTGCCAAAAGATTAGTCCAAATAATTATGACGTCTTGCAAGGCTATTTTAACTTTTTTTCTGGGCACGTAATAGTCAAAGTTGTGACTGAGTGCGGAAATATGAAGATAGATAGATAGAAAAAAAAATAAAATAGTCTTGCAAGACGTCATAATTATTTTGACTACCTAAAGATGTAACCTAATTCTTACTTGTTTGGGGAAAAGGAGAATTAACCGAACCACTATTCAATCTAAATCAGTGAACTGATTATTGTCTTTTGCAGTAGTCCGAGTCGACATCTGTAACTAATCATGCAAATTGATAGTCAACAGTATACCTTTTTCAGAATGTCAGCTTTATACAACAAAGAATCACTGGTGATAGGGGAGTGTAACCAATAAATTGATCCTAAATCAGATAAGATTTTCCCAGTAACGGAGAACCCCTTTCTTTGAGTGACTCTTGAGTGAATATAAATAGTGACGGGGGTCTCACAAATAAATATAAATCTGAATTACAGGAACATCGATAAGCAAAGTAAACTTACATATAAATCTCGAAGTTATTTACGGTAAAGACAGACTGTGCTCCTGAATTAAGGTATTAACTTATACATTTGCGTATATTACTCCGGGGGGGGGGGGGGGGGGGGGGGGGCACTTCCTATATACAAGGTGATAGGACGTGCCGCTGGTATAGGTCACTTTTTCCAGCTTGAAAATATGGGAATAGGTGGGGAAAACTATCAGAAATATATGATAAGGTCAATAAGTTCCAAGTGCTTGTATATGCAAAGCCCTGTTATTTTTTCACAGCCGAAAGTCTCGCCGTAAGTAAACATTACACACAGAATCTTAGCCTTAAATAATCCACTTTTCCAACACACCCCACGAAACCCAACCAATATGGGAAAAGGTTTCAATTTTACCCATGCAATATATGAAAAGGTATACATTTTTAAGATCTAAATTATATGAAAAGGGTGGGGTAACAGAACCCCAGCGACACCCCCTATCAATTAAGTATTGAAGTGCCCCCTCCCCCTCCACCCCCCCCCCCCCCCCCCCCCCCCCGATGTATTTTACTGCTACAATCACGCACCCGTTGCTGAGCAGAGAACCATACTTTCAAGCAAGGGACAGTCTATACTAACAGTTAGTATAGAAAGTCCCTGTAAAAAGGCAGGCAAATCCTAACAGTACTGTAACTTAATGATACATGTAGATCAAGTTACAGCACCTCACCCAGCACAGTTAGCACACTGATGTGTGTGAGTCTTATAATATAAAACTGTGTAGGTTCATATCGTTTGATTCAACGCTTTTTCGGATGTTTTTTATGACCGTTGTCAACATGGTCAAATCCGACCTGCCACTTTGCAACCTGACCTGCAAAAATAAAATTCGACTAAAAACAATGCCAGTCAAAATTGCTTTTTGAGACTGGGCGACTGAAAAAGTTTGAAAATGTGACCTTGTGACCCTACTTGGAATTCTCCATTCATCGGCGTGTGTCGGTGTGGCTAAAAAGGGGGCATTGTTTTTTTTCCTTTGGAAAAAAAATTGTTTCTATCTTTATTTAAAAAATAAATCAAGACCAATCATAAACTTTTTTTTCAAAACTCAGTGTCGTATTTTATTGTTTTCCCAACAATGTTTAATAAAAGCTTAAAATGTTTGTTTCACTTCCCTCTGACTTCCCTCCAGATTTTTTTTTCTCAAGAAATTATAGAATCAGTAAATGGATATATATATATGTCTGTGGTCACCGTCATGCATTTAGATAAGAAATTCCAGCATGCATCATCAAATAATTCATGTGTATTTGTGACACCAACATAACTGAAACATTATATTATTTCCCAGTAATTATGTAAATCATTTTTATTTACAAGTATATATGTCTGGGACTTATGCATGTATATATCTCACAGGCACTTGTCTCAGAAAAAAAAATTCTATATACTTTAATTAAGGTATATGGGGGAAAAAAATCTGAGACAAGTGCCTGTGATATATCTGTCAGTCCCAAAATAATAAATATAATTGTATCTTAATCTTTGGAAAAATCCAATTATTAAATTGTTAAATTCTTTTACTTCATAATTATGTCAAAGTATACTTTTTAAAGTTTTAAATTTTAAAGTTAAAATAAATATTCCGTTTTGATCTAAGGAAAAACTTTTTAAACTGTAATGACATGGTCAGTCAACTGATTTGTTGCATGGCTGATTACAGGTAATTAAAGCATGCAGTAATTTTCCATTACGACAGTGCGTTTACCCTGGGGTGTGTATAACGTTTTAGAAATACTATAGTTTTCTAGAGAACATCCTGTTGATGTGTAATACAGATTGATGACATTACACAAAATTTCTTTCGTTAAATGTAGTTAAGTATCTGTGTCTATCCCTGTTGCAACACTACAAATTTTTCGAAGAAAAAAATGTTAAAATTTGAAAAAAAAAATCATTTATATAAAATAAAGAAGAAAAAAAGTAGCAAATAAACTTATGTTATTTGCCTATCCTGCAGTAGACAAGAAATTGAGGATGAATACCATTTCTTCTCAGTCTGTCCATGCTATACATCATTGAGGGATACCTATATACATAACATTAATAAAAATCTTAATTTCAATTTTATTAAATTGCAGTCACCTATAACACTGAGGCATATGACCGCACTTTTAAATAGCAGTCTGCCAGTCATTATAAAAATCACCATAAAGTATATTAATGATTGTTTTTTATTTGAGAACATCTGTATAACTTATGTTTCTTTTAATATGTATCCTAATTTTTGTTTTTGTTTTTTTTTTTGTTCATGAACATTAATAATGTGTTAATTGTCGATACACACATATTTATAGTCTTTTTTCCCCCTGTGAATACCACTGCCACTCTAATATAATTATAGACAATTTAACTATTGTCAGTTTCTTGTCTCAATACTGTATGCCATAACCATTTAATGTAAATGTGTTTGTGCTTATAAATATTGTCTATTGTCTATTGTAACTACGCATTGAGAAAACATAATTTCACTTTACATGTACAAACCCTTGAGAAAACGTATATATAGATGTGTTTAAAAAGATCAATTCTCAGTGGATTTATTTCACACAAGGACCACTGGCACTTTTCTCAGAATTTTGATTCCTATATAACTTAATATAACATTAAAAGTATATAGGACATTTTTTTTCTGAGACAAGTGCCTGTGACTAGGACATAAGATAACTAGAACTAAGTTCATTGGAAAGTCTTTTTGTCTGATACATGTATACCTATAGATAATGTACATAATTAAGAACAGCTTCAAATATATATGTCTATAAATTAACGGTACGTCTAAAAATCGCTGAGGACCTCCTGAGTGCAGACAGGACATAAAAAGTCACTCAGGACATGTATATATGTTTTAGTGAGCGTTGAGGTATACATTCGATAGATAATTTAATTTTTGATCTTATAATTTTGGTTTTGATAAAATCAACCCAACTTGGGAAACGTCATGCATGACCGATGATCATATTCAATACCAATCATCATTTTGATTAGGTCGTTTGATCTTTAATAATTAGGACTGATTGGTGATGGTTATAAAAACATACAAGTAAACTTTGCAATAAAAAAAAAAAAAAACGTATCCTTGGAAAAATTATATAAATACATGAATATTGTTTTTACAAAAAGAAGTTTAATACATTTTTCGTTTTGTATGTAATAAATGAAGCCATTTAGAAATAGAAGTAATCTTCACATAGTCGGGAAATTTTCAATTCAAGTTATTTCATTTGAAAACGTTAAAAAATATAGATCTTATTCGATGTAAAATGTGGCGTCCTTGGAGATCAAAACCCCGTTAAAATAGGGTTTGTCTACTTTCGTCTATTGCCGAACATTCTATAATCAAGGATTTGTACAAATCCTTGCTATAATATAATGAATCGCGTCGCCAATATTACCACAATTACATAAATTACAAATACAATCTTCTCCTAAATATTTTGCATCTAACAATTTCAATAGGAAATTTTGAGTCGAAACTGAAGTACCAAATCTACAAAAAGAATCACTATTTTTTGTAGTAGTAGGCGTCGAAAACTAAACTGTTTATAATCTTTTTTTTCTCCTCAATTAATTGAAACTCTTGAAATAATTTAGCATTATCTATAGACAGCTTACAAATTAAAATCTTTTTAGAAGTATATGAGTGTATAGTAATAATTTGTTCATTAACCCCCTTTTTTCTTCTATAAAATTACATTGTAATCGATTTTATTTCCAAATTTGTGTTTGCTAGGATTGACACTTAGAACGTACAACATAAAGTAACAAGTAAAAAGTCACGATTCAGTTTTGGGATATTTTTTTCTTTGAATAAACTTAATTTTAAAAACGTTTCAGTATTTTTCTGAAATATTTTTAAAAGGAAACGGACTTGTAAACAAAATTTATTTTTGAATATTAATATTGAACAATGATTGTTAAGAAAACAATCAAAGTGGTTTGGTAATTAACTGGCTTCATGCTGTCAAAAATGTCTCCTTTTTATAAGTTTTTGATAAAAAAAAACTATTTGAAGGCGAATTAATCATTTCCTGAACTATCTATAAATAAAGTCAATTCGTCAAGAACTTTCTCTGATATATTTAAACAATTGCAAAATAATTAATTTAAATCCTATTTTCATATCAAACAACCATGTTACCCGTAGAACGGAGTTAAGTACAAATTTAGGAATTTAGTTCTTAAAATTTTCAACAACAAAATTTTATACTTTCATTTACTTGGATTTTGTTCTACGCTTCGAAGCCGCCACCCTGTATCAAACATAGCCAACACCTCGCATGGCGTATTCATGATGTTGAGGGATTGACAATATACAATCAAAGTTAGCAATATACAGCAAGTAAGTAATTGGGTGTTGAATGCCAGTAGATCTGAATTTGTAAATTGAATTTAACCTGTTTAGAATGTGTATTGTTGAATTGTTTAATAAAATTACACACATATGAAAATCTGGGCTGATATAATGCATAAAACCACTTTAAGTTCAAAGTATCAATGAAACTGGGTCTGCATGAAAAAATCAAAGTACTGAAGTACTGAACATCGGATGACCACAAGTTCTTGAGGATGGTCAAAAGCACTTGTCTCAGAAAAAAAACAACATATCTCTTTACCTGAAACTGAGGTTAATGTACAGAGATATATTTTTTTCTAGACAAGTGCGTGCGAGTATGATGAATAAATG